TTATAGTGTAGCCTTGTCAAATTCCAATATTTTCTATGTGAAAAATGTATTGTAATTTACGACTAAGAATTTGGAACTTAACTTGTGTGGATCTTTGATATCATGTAGACTTCTAATTGCATTTCGATGGTCATATGTGATTTTCTTAGACATCTTGGACTCCTCCAATGTTTCTAACACTAATTTACCTCATCTATTCAAAATTGCAATTAAGTCCTTAATTTTTACAAATGATCAATTTAGTTCATTTTGTTCACAGAATTGTCAATTACAATATTGGACTTAACAATCTGCCCTTTTGACATTCTGTATCAAAACTATACAAATTTAAATCAAGGAATTACAATCAATCAAAAATCTAAACTACCCAGTATTCCAAATCATTAAATCTTGCATTTCTTGTTGAACATGTTTCCTAAAATAAAAAAACTCACATACCCAGTGTAAATATTGATGCCAATCAAAATACCAACCGAAACACCAATATCACTAAATATCAAAACTCAAACAACAATGTACATGATATGAAATGCAACGTAATACTCCCCTTTACTGCAAACTCTCATGAATTCTATGCAGTAACACAATGTATCTATATTTTTCCCCAATGACCCCTTTAAGACATAGCAATGCAAAACGTAAGTAATGTCAATCAGTGAAATCATGTGCATGCAAATGCAGTTGCTCTCTTATGTGTATTTTATTTTACATGTTTTTCTCCCCTCAATTATATACATTTCTCTTCCCATTTTTACATGTTTTTCTTCCCTCAATTAGATACATTTATCTCCCCCTTTTGTTACAAATACTAAAGGGACTCATATCAAGAACAATCTGAGCAATAATACATAATAACTTAAAAATGCAGTTGATAGAATGCAAAAGCAACATTAACAAGTAGCAGACTTCCCCATATCCTCAATTTAGATCAGAATGGAGTAAAAAGTACAAGTGACTCATGTGTGTAAAGTGTCATTATTTCAATGTAAGTAGGACTCCAAAACTTAATTTTCTGAGAAGGGACATACTAATAACTACCAATAAGTATATCCATCTACTTATGAAAGTCAAACCATTATAGTACAGTACGACCTATACTTATTATTTTTGTTTGTCTTCCTCTTACTTTGAGCATTAATATTTTTCAAAGTTTCCATATTTTTCAGCTTATCAATTTTTCACATTTTTTTAGATTATTCTCATTTTTCCATCTCATTATTTTTATTTTATTTTAATTGCAGGTTGTTCTTCATAGGTGATCAAGATGATCTTTATAGTGAGTTTTAAGTAGATTAATGCAAGTCAGTTGACCATAAGCACTAGATTTTAAGAGACCCCTCAAGTTTAATTGTTCGAGTCAAATAGGCCACAAAGAAGAACATTAAGATATGTGCTTAGTTTAATGGGGAATAATTTTTGGGTTTAGGTCTACTAAATATTGGTCAATTCATTTTCAAAGTCACTCTATCAACATGTGACAGTCATCCCAAATCTCACACACGCGGTAGAGTCCCATTAACAAATTGATAGTGCGTGCTGTGTAGATGGTATATGAAGACACTTATACCAATTAATCCAAACATACTTAAACAAGTAGTGAAAATTATTCTACAACTTATCAATTTCAGCTCATGCATGATCACAACCAACAAGTTCAAGAAATATGTCACGCTGTAGCAATTTTCATAACAAACTATTTTTTGTCTTTTCCAATTTTTCAAATTTTTTTTTTTTTTTGTGTTTTTCTTTTTCAAATATGAATACATCACACAGCAAGAAAAATATCAAGCACACAAAAACAAAAATAGAATATGTATGTGCCAATGTAGACAGATGAGAATGTATATGTATGAACCAAAATGACAGTAAACACATACAACTGATGCATGCAATCATCATGTGACAATTAAGAATGGGCATGCATCAAAAACTACCTAATCAGTTAGGTATATAGGTGCTCTTTTCTTTAACAGCACCTTGATCCACTTCCAGATTTTGCAGATCACTCTTCTTCACCCAAACTTATCTAGTGGGATAATAGTTTCAGACAATTATGTCCCAACTTGGTCAAACGATTCACTTGTTTAGTAAAAAATCCAATCTGAGCAACAAATACCTAATTTTTGTTTCCATTTAAGTACATCTTCCTATTTTTGTTCAATTACTGATAACATCTAGGACGGATGTGATCTAACTCTCCACAATGAAAGCATGTTGGGATAAACCTAGGACTTGTGTTATGTGAATGCAGACGTCTATTCCTTGGTCGATGGGTTCTACAATATCTTGTAGATCTCTGTCCTACAGATCCCTCAACATTAGGTTTGGGGTTAGGCATATGTTTAGGTTGCTCAGAAGAAAGTAGAAATGTGGTCTTAAACGTACTAGCATATCATCAAGTTTACAATATATCCTAGACCTCCTTTATTTCTAGCCGGCTTATCTATTCCTAGAAGATTATCTAGTTTTGACGAACCACTAGTGAAGGCAAGAAGTTGAGACTTTGAGTGCTCTAAATTGTTCACAAGGTTCACAACCTGGATTTGCAAAGTCTCACTGATGGGTGGTCAACTCGCTAACTTTCCTAGAGGATCTTTCAAGCTCATTGGTGAGATTTTTGACCTAAGACTCTAAAGTTTCATTCATCGACTTAAGTTCACTCAGAATAATGGAAGATTCCTTAACGTACGCCTCTAACTTAGCTTTCTTTGATTGCAGCTCCTAAATAATCGTACTTAAAGCCTTATTTTTATTGAGAATTTTCAGGCTTTCCTGATACATCTTCTCATAGGCCTCATCGATATCTTCCTCACTCACTGACTCATAACTAGAACCCTCATTACTATCTAAGTCCTTGTCTCTTTCACTCCCATGTTCGGATCCACTCTTAACCCTAGTTACGAAGATAACATATTTTCCACTCTCGGTCGTCATCAGTAAGAGTAGCATTCATAGCTTTCTCCCCGACTCTCTTAGCACTAGGGCACTCCTTCTTCATATGACCTATACCTTGATAGTTATGGCATCTCACTGAATTAGATTTTCTCCTAGATTCACTCGGGCTACCTCTCGGTTTCTCTTGCAGCTTTTTTTTCCTAAACATTTTTCAGAATTTTTTTAGCTAGGTAGGCTATCTCCTCAACGTTGGATGAATCTGAATCATAAGATTCAATCCGATTATTCCTAACGGATTTCAAGGCAAGGGATTTTTCCTTAACAGGATTGTCTAAGGTAAGCTCCTCTATCTCGATAGTGTCAATATCCTTACTTTCTTCTATAGCCATGACTTTAGGCCTGAAACGTTCGTGTAAGGATCCAAGAATCTTTCTAACTATCTTGGGCTCGGGGATCTTCTACATAGGTTGAATGAAGAGTTCACTATGTCGTTTAGGCTCGTATAGAAAACATCAAACATTTTATCATCTCTCATCCTGATCTCTTCAAACCTAGTAGTTAGTATCTGCAATTTCGAATTTTTAACTGCCCGTGTTACCTCATGTGTGATTTCTAGAATATCTCGAACTTCTTTAGCAATCTCACACATGGACACTCTACTAAATTCTTCGAGGGAAATAGCCATAAATAGGGCATGTAAGGCTTTTCTACTCCAATTGCATATAATATCCAATTCAGCCTTAAACCATTTTTTTATGGGGATGGAAGTGATAACACCATCTACTGTAGACTTATGGGTAGACTAACCATTCACAACACTCAATCAAATCCTCTCATCCATAGATTTCAAAAATGCCCTCATTCATACTTTTCAATAAGCATAATTATTCCCATCAAAATGGGACGGCACACTCAACACAGTACTCATCTAGACTATGTAAAGTCAGAACACGTGCTCAGGCTCTGATACCACTCGAAAGAATCTAGAACGGTCTAATACCACTACAATTTTTAGGATTTATCGAGTTTACGTTCCATATTACAAATTATTCGACCATACATACATAATAAACTAACTAAAGCAATAAGTCACTTTAATTAGATGTTTAGGTGGTTAAACAAACAATTTAATTATCCTATATTTGAATGCCGCAGTTATAATATTGTAGAAAGCAATAAATAACACAAGATATGATGATGGAGAAACCCAATCGTGTGTAAAACTCCGGGATCAAACCAATTACCTCTACTATAGACAATTCAGAGAATACAATGACAAGCCTATCCTTGTGCCCATTAAGACCCACTGCCACAGCCTTACGATCTACTGACATAGACACCTCTAGCACTAAAACTCCTAATCAACCTCCTGCAGCCTCCTACTGCAGTAGATTCCTCTAGACCTCCAAGTCTACCTCCTGAATATTCGTCAGTGTTTTCACCATAACTTTCTCTCTCAATATTCAATTGAGGTGATTCAACTTGTGTTGAAAAACTAACTCAAAGGGCTACAATTCTTCTAAAATTAGCATGGTCCAAGCTTTAATGTTTTCTATGTGAAAAATGCATTGCAAGTAACGACTGAGAATTTGGAATATAACTTGTACGACTCTTTGACATCTTTTAGACTTCTATAATTGCATTCCGATGATCATATGTGATCTTGTTAGACATCTTGGATTTCTTCAATGACTCGAACACTAATTTACTTCATCCATTTAAAATGGTAACTAAGTCCTTGACTTTTACAAGTGATCAATTTAGTCTATTTTGTTTACAGAATTGTCAATTACAATACTAGACCTAACATTTATCATTACTCTCACATTAGACACGCTACCAATAGCTTCAAACTAACACAATGCATGGGCAAAGACTAGTATATAAAAAAATCGTGGACATAAGTGTCTAAATGATCAAAAAGTATCGCGCAAAATGGGCTTATCATCGAATGGAAAAGCCCATACTAGAAGCCCAAGCGAAATATTCTGACTGAAAGCCCATATTACCAGTAGTACACACATTGTTCTTCACTACAATTGTCTCCAATTTCAACTAAAGTAGCAAAATCGGTAAACAAATAAGGTCCCATTTCAACCCTACAATAGTTAAAATAAGAGGAAACGCACGCCACATCCAATAAAAGAACCGGAGGTGCATCCGTCTTTGATGGATTTCAAAAGACAACATTCGAAAATCTGAAATCCAAACTTCATCTTCTTCTTTCTTGAGCTAAGGCCTTGATTTAACCCCAAGGTGAGATCTTTTCCACTTTCTTGAGTAAATTCTTTCTGGGTTTTGCACAATTAGCTCAAATAATCTAAACTCTATCTTTTTCCCAAAAATTCTGATTATAAATCTGTTAGGCTCCGTCTCCATTAACATGAAATGAATTTCATCGTCATTTTTCTCTGCTTCTTTTTTTATGTGTTGATTTTCTTGAATTCTTACGATTAAAAGTCAAATGATCTCCAAGACTTAGTTTTTTCCTCTCTTGAAATGAGATCTAATTTTCATTTTACATGTCAATTGCTTCTTTAGTTTGATACCAAAAGTACTGTGGGATTATTGAAGGAGTGTTGATATGGCTTCATCTATGCTCTATTCTGCAAATATACCCTTGAGCGTGCCACGATCACTCAGAGTGAGGGCAAGTAATACGAATGATAATGTACCTATGAAGAAGATGGGAATGAGTGATGAGGAGTGTGAAGCTGCGGTGGTTGCAGGGAATATCCCGGAGGCACCCCCGGCGCCCTCCAAGCCAGCTGCTCCAGCTGGCACCCCGGTGGTGCCTTCACTTGTAAGTTAATACATTATATATATGAAATGTGTTATGAGAATGTATTGCGGAGTGTTGTTGCTGTGACATTTCTGAGATAATGAGAAAGGGTGATAATGCGGTAGATGTTCGATTTAAGTTTATGCTCAGTACTATTTTTGATCTTGTTGATAAGATGTCTGTATTGTTTGTCATAGGCGTTTGTGCAATAACAAGTAATAGCTTTGGCTTTTTATTATCCCTTATTTAGGTAAGGACTGGGTAGTTAGTCGTCCTAAGCACTGCACTGAATTTTTACCTTTCTAGATTGCCTTATTAGTTATTTATATTGCGGCTTTCAACTTTCTTTGATGTGGCGTCGAATTAGTTCTTGTGAATGCTGAAGATACAGCAATGAATTTAGGCTGATAGCTTACTTGTTAGTTCATTATATCAGTGCTGTTGAACACATGTTCAAGATTTGTGTGTCATGTATTGGTGAAACTTTGTACGATTCTTATGAATAAATCCTATTAATTAGTCACAATGTTAATGTTTGTGTCAGTCTATTAGTCGTCGCCCTCGTCGGAATCGTAGGTCACCTGCTCTGAGGGCCGCTTTCCAAGAAACAAGTTTAAGCCCTGCAAATTTGGTATATCCACTTTTCATTCACGAAGGTCAGTACCATCACAAGATTCTGTCTACATTTGCTTAAAATTTTAAAAAAATGCAATGTTCACATGTCTATATTAAGCATGCTTGATACATGTACTATCCTGAATGATATGCAGGTGAAGAGGACACACCAATTGGGGCAATGCCTGGATGTTATAGGCTTGGTTGGAGGCATGGACTCGTAGAAGAGGTTACTGTCCTCTTGCTTGTCTTTTGTATTTAAGACCTTCCAAGCACTTTAACCCCATATTATTTCTCAATCACCTAGCTCTGAATGTGTCTTTTGATCATAAGCTGATTTGTGCGGCAATATGAACATGCGATTTGTATTGTCATGTTCTTGCCGCATGAAACCTGTTATAATGATATAGCTTTCTATAACCTGAAAATAGTCACGTGAGTCTAACATGCATAACCGTTACTCTTAGGTGTTCATTTTGATGCTTCTGTTTGTGCTATATACCAATGGATTTCGTAGATTCTTTATTTCATAAAAAACTGTTGTATATCATTAGAATTAAGAAAGCTCTTAGCAAGCCTGATGTTTACACACATCCCACTTGATTTAGATTGTGATGTGTTAGTAATTTAATCAATTTGGAATACCCGAGTACACACCTCACATTGAAGTTCGACGTCTAGTATGCTGTTGGTACAATCCAAGAAAAATTTGTTGTCTGCTTACCATTAAAATGTTCATGTTCAAGTAATTATTATTTATCTAGTTACTATGTGTCCATATGGTAAGTAATATCCTCAGTAATAACTAATCTCTAACTTATCTTCATGCAGGTCACTAAGGCTCGGGATGTCGGTGTTAATAGCATTGTGCTATTTCCGAAAGTTCCAGACGCTTTAAAGGTTTATCTTCTACAAAAATACTTTCTTATTTTGTGATTGGCTTTAAATAATGGGTTCTGCACTTTCAGACCTCTACAGGGGATGAAGCTTACAATGAAAATGGATTAGTGCCTCAAACAATACGGCTGCTAAAAGACAAGTACCCTGATCTTGTATGTTATTCTTCACTTAGGAGGGTTATAGTCTTTCAAGATCAATGGGCTTTAACTGGGTATTTAATGTTGCCTTTGATAATTTATGATGTCTGTGTCTGTAGATTATCTACACTGATGTTGCATTAGATCCATATTCTTCTGATGGGCATGATGGTATCGTCAGAGAAGATGGTAAGACACTTACCACATTCAGTTCTTCCTTTTTGTCTCATATTCTTTGCCTGAAATTAGATTATGCCGAAGAGTAGGTATAGTTCATACAAGGTAGCATGGCCGATAAATTTTTAAACTTACTGCAATATCCTGCAGGAGTTATAATGAATGATGAAACTGTGCATCAATTGTGTAAGCAGGCAGTCGCCCAGGTAATTCTGGACCTTACCTTGCATATGGTATTAAGCATGCTTTGTGCATGATATAAATCTTTTAGACAAGTGAAATGAAATCTTCTATCAAAATTTGCTGTAATTTAGCATATTGTCACAAATGAAACATAATTTCCTCTATGATTGAGTTTTGACGTTGTCATTGTCACGTACTTACGTTCCTGACATGCATAATTTCACAGACTTTTTAAGTGCTTTAGAATAGAATGTGATGGTTACTTGCACTTTTTGTCGAATCTACCATGGCAAACGAAGTTTGTAATCTTATTACCCGGCGCACTTTTATATGTAGGCCAGAGCAGGGGCCGATATTGTCAGCCCCAGTGACATGATGGATGGCCGTGTAGGTGCAATTCGAGCAGCTCTTGATGCTGATGGCTTTCAGCATGTTTCTATTATGTCCTACACTGCAAAGTCTGTTCTTATTCGTATTATCTTTGCTTTAGTAGCGAGTTTATTATGCCTCCTATTATAATAATCTTTTAAATTTCTACATGCTGAGGAGTTCTAAAATAACTAGTACATGATTTAATATCGAGCTCTCTTACTATCTAATCTTTTTGTTCCACCTTCAGTTTTTCCTTATTTTATTATGTTGATTGAAATGAAATTTCAGGTATGCAAGTTCATTCTATGGTCCTTTCCGAGAAGCATTAGACTCAAATCCACGTTTTGGTGACAAGAAAACGTACATAACTTTCAAGTTATTTTATTTTATTTTTGGCTGAAATATCCGTACCAACCAGTTAGATCTCACTTTTCCGCAAATGTGGCATGTATTAAAAAGGTATCAGATGAATCCTGCTAATTATAGAGAAGCTCTGGTTGAAACCCGTGAGGACGAGTCTGAAGGAGCCGATATCCTTCTGGTTATCATTTCTTTCTTTGGTTTATCAAAAAATAAATACATATCATTGCTTCTTTGCAAATTTGACTGCATTCAAATTGAGCAAAGAGCCTACTGTTTTTCTGATGGATTTTCACTTGGATTAGGTTAAACCAGGTCTGCCTTACTTGGATATAATAAGGCTTTTGCGAGATAACTCTCCTCTACCCATAGCTGCATATCAGGTACTATTAATGAGTAAACTTTTTATGCTTAGCCAAACATGCCACCACTCTTCTCTTTGAATTAACTTTTGATAGGACTACATCATATAGTTCAGTTCAGCCATCATTTTCACTTCTGAGACGAAAGCTTATGATCAAATCATTTCTGGGTTATAAGAAGATCCCATGGTAAAACCTAGCAATGAATGATTGAAAATTGAGACTAGTGGAATAGACGAGATAGTGGGACATATAATGTGAAATATCAAAATTTACGGAAGTAGAGATTAAGCCCCTGTTTGTCTATCACTATTTCGAAAGCCCTTTTTTTTTATCAAAATCATTTTCAACTACACATTTTCGCAATAAAATATTTTGCACGTAAACTCGAAATCTTTTCCTACTTTTTAACCACACATTCTCCAAAAATTCACTATTGCAAAACTCAATCTCCTACTTGTATGGTAGACAAACGGGGGCTAAGTAAACCCCATTCTATACTTTCTTCTCTTAATTAGACTTCCAACTTTTTGAGACGCCCCGAGTTTTTCTACTTAAAGGCAATTCTTATAGTGGTTTTCTACGTTCAATAGGCATAAAATAGATCAGAGGTGTGAATGAGTAGTATTTGTTTCGTTTGGTAATTGGGTTGTCCAATTCTGTCTAATAATTCGTACTACACATTCCCTTTGGATTTAGTGATAACTGATGAGAAGATAACGTACTTTTCTACTTGGTTCCTTTTTTCTCATATTTCTTGGAAAAATTTGCTGTACTTAGGTTTCTGGAGAGTACTCGATGATTAAAGCTGGCGGTGTACTGAAAATGATTGATGAAGAGAGGGTCATGACGGAGTCGCTGATGTGTCTGAGACGAGCTGGTGCTGATATCATCCTCACGTATTTTGCTCTGCAAGCTGCTCGATGCTTATGCGGAGAGAAGAGGTAAAATGTACGTGATAGAATGGAAGTTCATTTTTGTGCGTAGGATTGTCTGTTGTACGTCTATAATTATGTTCTTCGACTGAGAAATACACTAATAATTGAATAAATGCTCGAATTTTTCATCGATGGTTTTGTGCTTTGGATTCCACAGAGAGTGTATTTGCTAAAATGAAATTTGTGAGGAAATCATTCTTATGGCTCGTTTAGTTGGATGGATTATACAAGATTGGATACTAAGTAGCAAACAGAATTAAAATCTATTGCTGCAGTAGTTAAATTTGTCTTCCAACTTATTGAAAAGAGCAAGTTGATCTTCATGAAAACCGTCGAACTTCAAATTTTTGAGAATCGAACCAACTTAGGAAACAAGTCTAGCTTCACATGATTGGATAAGTGAGAGCAACTTGATGACTTAACAGCGATAAATTTGAAGTGTTTTCGTCGTTGAGGATTGGGCTGATTGTGCAATAATGAAATCTTGATGACCAACTTGCAACATGAAGTAAAGATAAAAATCATAGATCGAGTCGAAGAAAATCTCTTAAAATTAAATGACAAAGTTCCCACTAATTACAAAATATATATTGGAATTGATAGTTTTCTCCTTAATTAAATAAACTAGGTACACAAACTCATGCTTCTTCCTCATCAGTAACAAATTTTCCAGTACCAGGATTAATGGCTGCAATGAAGAAGAAGACAATGTTGAACAACAGAAGAGGTTCAAGTTCATTTATGGGCACTCCAGTTTCTATATTCAACTGTGCCAAAGCCCCTTTTCCTGTTACTATTTCTCCAATTATGGAGAAAACAATTCCCAATTGAGCCAATCTTCCGACAAATAGTTCATTTGATTTTGTGAATCCAAAAAGTGGACCTGCATGCATGCAAAAACTTGTTAGGTATAGAAAAATTTATTTGGTGCGTTAAACTAGATGACAAGATTGCCTAGTAGATTCGTATGTTAAAAACCCAAGTGATCGGTGTTACAGTTTGGTCATTCTATCCATGTTCGTTGGTTTGACGAATGGAAAGATGACCTGGTACACACTCTCAAATAGAATTAGACAAAACAATGAAGGAGATTTTAATATTTTTTCCCCACTTAGTACTATCTAGTACTATAAAATTTACCTGCAAAATAAGTTATTAAGTCCTACAAACAACTAGAATAGTGGGAACGAAATATTTACCATCTCCAAGACCTAATGCACCCCGAATTCCCTTGCCGGGGGCAATAACAGCCTTGTCAAGTCCGGTCGGAGGATCATCAACGAAACGACCACGATCACCCAAAGCGCCTATGGCTCCGAGGAGATTGAAGAGGATGAAGAAGAGAAGAAGAGGTTCAGCTTCATAAAGAGGGATTCCAGTTTCCAAATTCAATTGTGCCAAAATTCCCTTTCCTGTAACTGCTTCTCCCAACAAAGATGCCTGCACTAGTTTTATCCGATGTCAATCAATCCTAGGAAATTTGCTAATAATTTACATAAAAATGCAAAAATTCTCTTTATTAATTAACTAGAAAAGGCTCAATTGTTTCTTATCAATTGTTAATATTGTACTAGAACACATTCCAAAAAATCTTGGCATTTTTTTCTTAAATGTACTTATAAGTTGTAGATTCTATAGAATTTGTGGATAATACATAAGTGCTAAGTTGTGGATCTTATAAAATGTGTGTAAAAAGCTATGCCAAGTCAAGAAAATTTTAAGCTTTTCCAAACATGCACAAAGTTGGATATGATTCTTAGACTAGTTTACATTGGTTTTCAAGTAGAAGTTTGGATAAGTATGAAAAATTTAGAGCTTGTTTGGGAGTGATTTTTCACCTCTCAAAAAATTGATTTTTTGACCATTATTTTACTATTTCAACCGTAAAATTTGACTTCTTCTCTCACTAGTGGCCTCACTTTACTTCTAACGGTCACAAAATCAATTCTTAAAATTACTTCCAAATGGACCTTAACTTACAAGCAAATAAAACCTAGTATATACGTTACTACTACGTCACATGGGAACGGGGAAGTGGCAAGGGATCTTTTGACAAACTAATCGATAAGATTTTAAAGGTCAACATAGTGCATGAAAAAAAGAAAGAAAGAAAAAACTCACCGCGAATCCAATCATGGCAACACGACCCACAAAGAGTTCATTTTCCTTGGTGAAACCAAATCCTCCCGATGTTCCAAAAATGCCATCTTCCACCTTTGGCTTTTCCTTCACCACTGGAACCTGTCAAACAAATCAATGCATCAACCATAGGAGGAAAGGAACAAGAAAAGGAAAAAGATCCACAAAATCCCTTGTGTAAGTAAAAAATACCTTCTTGGCCGGTGCTTTCGTCTTCGACTTGAAGAGTGCAACAGTAGTAGTTGATGAAGATAAAGGAGATGAAGTTTTGGGAGGTAAAACGAAATGAGAAAAGGGCTTCGGTTTTAATCTCTGCATCATCAATGGGTCCTTCTTCAGATCCAATGCATGCCCAGAAACAGTACTACCAGCAGAGAGTAGCATGGTTTGAGCCATGGCAGATTGAGCGTGTGTTGTGTGCGAGAGAGAAAGAGAGTGATAATGTTATACCAACGGAGAATATATCATAGTACTGTGTATCAGTGTATAGAATTAGTCCAATATTTTTGTAAGAGTTTCTCTATCACACACACGAATGATATGTTGAGGATAGGGGTGTAAGAATTGTGATGGTCGAGAGAGTGTCCACGTTCTTGTATTATTTGGTGCTTTTGAAGTGGATATTCTATGGTGTTCAAGCTTGGCAAACTAATTATTTTTATAGATTTTAATTTAATTTTTATACTTTGGTACGTAAGAATCGAGTAGAGTTTTGTTAGGATGGAAAATTGTTCTATGTGGGGGTTAATTCTTTTGCAAAACTCTCGAGATAGAGCACTACAAGAAATATCACCTTCAACAACCATAGAAATGATCGTAGAATGTACATTTTCGATTGTTGATCACATTCAATGGCCAAAATCAGATGTTCATTCGTTGGTCGGCAAATTGGTGTGCACGATTGTATTCAATGACTAAAAAGATATTTGGAAGTTGAATGTATCATCTCAACAACGAAATAACTGGTCATAAAAAATTTATATTGACAACTGATTCTTTTTTCAACAACCCCTCGTTTGGTTGTTGTATCAACTATTTTTGTTGTTTAAATACAATGAAAGTAACCAAATTTTAGTTACCTTCATTTCAACAACAAAAAAAATAGTTAAAAATTAATATTAACAACCAATTAATTTATTTCAAAAACTATTTGATGTGTCATTTTATTATTTTTATCAATAAAAGTTGATTGAAAGAACTAAAATTTAGTTGCCTTTCTTTCCAACAATAAAGAAATGGTAGTAAAAAAATTATATTAACAATCAAAATATTAAAATGATGAGAAATTTGATTATCAACAACAATACTCATAATTCCATAACTTCCACACATTCACATCATACTACAAGCAAATCTTACCCACAACCATAAACAATTTTGAAAGTAAAACAAAGCAATTATAAATAACATTATACTCAGTTCAGTAACTGGTGTTCTCAACATAAAAACAAGTAAATGTAGAGTTGCCTTCATGGCCTTTACATATTTTGCTTTAAGTTCTACGACCCTATCTTCATAGAATTGTTTTTCTTGGTGATCCAAAAAAAAAAATCACTTCAGTAGTCATGGATTTCCATTTCTCACCACCATCCTTCGCTACCTAATATTCAAGAAACTTAACATGTTATGATAGAAACCTAGAATTGAAATGCATAGTAGAAAACCTTCAAGAATTTCACGTCTCTTACACTTTTGCATTCAGAATTATTCTCCTTGTACTCTTTCCTAAAATCATCCCTGTAATAATTTACATCAAACATAATATTAAACAAATTCCTCAAGTTGTGCAATATAGAAATAAAAGGAAAAGAAATTGCACGCGATAAGGAAGAAGGAAGTTAGAGGACGTTTAGGTGTATTCATATATTTTTTGCTTTCGTTTCCTTCTTCCCTTTTGATTCTGTAGATTTTGCCTTCTTTTGTTCATCAATAAAATAATGAGAAGATAAAAACAAACACACACACACACACACAAACCAAAATCAAATCAAACTGATAATAAACTGTACAGTAAGAAAGTTCAATGAGATTACTTGGCCTCACATAGCATTTCTACAATCAAAAGAATCCATATCGATTTATCATCAATCAAGAGAAGTTTCCCTCAGTCAATAGAGACAGATATTTATTATATTGGTCCAAGATTCATGTATATGGATAAGTTTTTAAGATATTTCATTCTTGACAAAATAGAGACAAATTAATGTATTAAATTAGCCTTAGCACAAACGAGAAAATCAATCAAAGAATATTTCTCTTTTCACAACAAATAGAATCAAGATTTAAAAATCCTTCGCAGGTAAACAAAAATGGGTAGTTAAGATAAAACTTGTTTTATCAAAAAGTTTTAACAGTGAGAGACTGAGAACACCAAGCCAAAAAATATGAAGATGAATGATGAGATTGCAAAAGACAATCAACAATTCAACTCCTTTTTCAACTTGAATCACCGAACATAATGTAAATGTTTCTCTTGAAGTTGTAATTCTGATAACCATTGAAAACAATGCCTATGAAAGCTTCAAAATGCAGCATAAAAAGTATGCAATAAAATATTCTTCGGAACTGCTTGTGTTAGGGGTGTCTAGGAATGTATATCTTGGTTCATTGGTACTTGATAATAAAAGCAATAACTTGCATATCTATCCCTACCCTTACCCTGATGCAAATTTTACTTTGTTGGAACATGTGTTTAGGTACTGGCACCGGTCTCAAATACATAACTTAATCAAAATCTTTGTAATAATCAGATTCTATAATTAGTTTAGATCCACAATTGTTAACCAGAATCCAACCCACAAAATAAATAAGTTAAAAAATTATTCAAAAGCAACAATCAAGAAGATGAAAGATGACGAGGTAAACGAAGAATAGATTAGACTAATGCACCTAAATTAGAGAACCATATTGAAAGATATAACGATGGAACAATAGTGGCCTAGTGGTCTGCCTCTTTGCAGGGTCCTTCTAAAGACATCAAGTAATGAAATCCTTAAACCCTCTGAGTGCAATAAATTCTTAAACTCATTTTTCTCACTTGTCAAGAAAAAAGGCTTCTACCAATTGGAAATTTCATCAAGCGTCTGGTGGGCATATCACAAAGCAACATTAAATCAAAAAATCAAATTAGAATATTTTTACTAACAATAGAGGAAGTACAAAAGGTTAATCATTATGAGGATGAAAAGAAAAAGAAATCAGAAAATAGAGAAGAAAAAGTAGCCAAAGGGAGAGAAAAAAAAAATGAAATAAAATTGTCAAAATAACTTTACTCCTACAACCATAAATGAAAAAGTCACCGTCATTCTTTATTGATTAAGGGGATGGAGATGAGAGGGGAACATTGATTATAGGGGATGGAGATGAGAGGGATCATTAATATGTTGGATGTGCCATGTTCGTCATGTTCCAGACTTGACAAAGAAGCTCACATCGCTGAATACCTTTAATGCAAAATAGTATAAATTCTTTGGTGGAGGTGGAGTCTTGAAGGTCCGAAGGGGTGTCCAGGTTGTACTGGAGGGACGGAAGACGTCTCAGTTGTACGTCTTGCAGGGGAACATAGAACCAATTAAAAGACATTTGGACAAGTTCAGTGCCGTGGTGGAAGTTTAGTTTGGTAGAGTACCTCTTGTGGCGAGCTCTGAGTTGGTTAAGAACACTGTTAGGCAGAGCGTTAGTGATTTCGCTTTGCCACCAATTTCAGCTGTAACGACCTGGGTCTCTGTACCCAAGTCGTTAGTTTTGTCCAATTGGTACTAGGATTTAAATTAAGTCTTAAAGAAGAGGTTATGAGTTCGAATCCTAGGAGACACGATAGAAAATCGTGAGGGGTAAGTGGGCGCAAGGCTCACCTAAAGCGGACAATACGTTTGCTAACGATTTGGGTATAGAAACCCGGGTTGTTACATCAACGGATACACTGTGTTCATTTGTGAGGGTTGGACTCATGGAACGTAGGTACGGTGATGTCACTAATGTTTGGAATGCTTTAGGGGATGTTGAAGGTGACAGTTCTAGTAAGGAGCCTTCTGATCTAGCATGTGGTATAGTTTCTGCTACAGGGTGTGCTTCGTCCTTGTTTGGTCAACAGTAATTCTTCGGTGGAAGTTTGGAAACCCAGGATTTGGGTTCGAGTATCACTTGTGGACGTTGTGCAGAGGACGATGGTTTGATGATGGAGATTTTGGTTACCGCGTTGAGGAGATTGGTCAGTTCATTTTGACGCCGACGAATTTGAAATTTTGGAGTTTCGTTCGTTGCACCGGAATTTTGAGTCAATGTGGAGATTGTTAAGTTTAATGCCTCAAAATTGGTTGAAATCTTGAAAGATCACGTTTGGCTTGAATTTGGAAATAAATTAAATTACATCCAAGATTTTTTTTCATTTTACGTGATTTAACCTAATTCTAATAAATTTTCTTACATTTTAGGATTCCATTAGGTTTATGGATGTAGCCTATAAATTAGAAATTCCTTCGTCAGTTTTAGACGAAACATTATTGATGTCCTGTATTATTCTCTCCATATTGTCATGTTAATAAAATTCATCGTTCTTCTACTTAGTTTCTCTTTTTCTACTTTATTTTAATCTTGTATTCGTGGTGCAATCTTAAATATTTCATCTAACAATCTTGCATCGCCTTTGAGATCAACAGAAATGATTTCGACCAACAAATTAATTATTAGTTTTTTCATTTAACAATTTAAGAATTTTGATGAAGTGGTTGAACATGCATACTGTGTACAGTCTATAGATATAGGAATGGAAAATCGGGTTTGCCGGTATAAAGGTTTTCATTTTTTGTTGCTCTATATAGTGAAATTGAATGTCCTTAAAAACCATGTATGGGATTGGCTTCTTTACATTATAACTTAAACTTTTGTACTCAATATGGTGAAAAAAACCCATTTTTTCAGCTGACACTTTGATGTAAGCTAACTTTGAATAACCTAGGATGTTTTTTAATCTTTGAGATACCTCTCGCATGAGTTTTCCTTGTTCACGAAGTGTTTGGTTAAATTAGCCTACATCTCTATACAGCGTTTAATTCTTGTGAAATCATGGTACATTTGTTGCATCTCAGGGTGTTGGGGGACGCTTTAGAGTCTTTGCTACTATTGGGGAGAAGGTGGGTTAAAGGACCGGAAAAACCCGTGGGCAACACTTTTTGATGTTGAAGATCCAAGAACTAAGGTCCCTCAATGTAAAGGCAAGTTTTTGGACGTCAATCAAGCTTTAGGAGTGGCTAGATTGGATATACAACATTGCGATTGGAAGGCGCGACAAGATGTTCTTTCAATTATGCTACAGCACGAAGAGGTCAATTACAAAATTATCCTTTACTTTGTCATAATTTATGATCAAAATCAGATTTTTTTGATTCAGTTACGTTTTTTCTATTTTGTCAACTTAAAGACCACGTTTAGGAATCATATTATCTTTGTTGATGAGACATGCCAATCACTTGCATCTCGAAGTACCTTTTCATTTCTTTTTCAAGGGGTGGTGTCGAAATCATGTGTGACTTGTAGCAGGACTATTTTCTGAGTTTAGTTACTATTTCTCAAGTGGAAGCTCTTATCATCCTTCGAATCTTATTGATTTAAATTGAAAGTTCTGACTTTGATAGTAACCTATAGGCTGTGGAGGTATTAAACCCCTCTTGCCTGTGAATATAAATCTGTTGGAACTCTCACGAAGGAACTTGCTGAGTTGCAGGAGGATCTAGCAAAATCTCACAAACAGGTATGTCAACCTGTGTGTGTATTTTTGCACGTATATATTATATAGTATGGTGTACATAGGTTGAAACATTGAACTTTCATGAGCCTAATCATATTGTATTGTTATAAAGTCGACTGTAAATTGATATATTGGACATATATCAGAAGCAAGGGTTGCGACTGCCTTGGACAAGCTAGCTTACATGGAAATGTCGGTGAATGATAAAGCTATTGCAAGATAGAAAGACAACAGAATCTAACTTATCGTCCCCTATCCCAAGTACTTTGAAAGAATCTCTTGATACTTCCAAGAACAGGCAGCCTAGAAAGAGCCTCAATGTGTCTGGTCCTGTCCAGGCTTATGTTGCCAGTTTGAAGAATTTTTGGTTCCCCGTTGCTTTCTCTGAAGACTTGAAGGGTGACACCATGGTAAGTCTATTACCAGGAAACTCGTTCTTCCCTTTTCAACTCGTTTCTAAGGAACAATTAGAGATTTATATACCATATAAAACACAGCATTAATCTTTCTACAAGAAAGGGCTTCGTGCTTCTCCCTTGTTGATTATGGCTTCATAAGTTTTCATTCAGATTCTAATAGATTGCTTTGAGGAACAGTGGGTTATCTTTCGTGTGAAGGATGGAAAGCCTGGGGGTGTTCAGAATACTTGCGCTCACAGGGCCTGCCCACTTCACCTGGGGAATGAGGGTCGGATCCAGTGTCCTTATCATGGTGAGATCAAGAGCATGTATTTTAAGTTTTACATCCTATATAGACAATATGAACAGTAAATGGTCTGAACTATCAAGTATTATTACTTAAAAAGTTTTTGTTATTTGACACCACTGATTTTTTTAATGTTATGATCAATGTCAGGATGGGAATACTCAACTGATGGAAAATGTAAGAAAATGCCATCTACAAAATTTCTGATGTTAAGATCAAAGCATTACCATGCTTTGAACAAGATGGAATGATATGGATATTGCCTGGCAGTGATCCTCCAACTACCAATTTTGAACATTTTTAGGACATTTTAGTGATTTTAGATAAATCCCCTTTTCCCTGGTATCTTTTCGAAATGTTGGATTTTGTGGAGCCTTCTTGCACTTTTCACCTAACTCCTCGACCTATTATAATTGGCATTCATACTATTGTATTAGGACTCCCTAGTTTTCTACTGGGGATCATTTGTCTGTCACTTGTGTGTGATAAGAAAGAGGTGTGCAAGGAAAAACCTTGTCATTTCCTTCATAATAAGTGACAAAAATCTGCAGCACCAAGGCAATGCAGAGTTTAGTGAACCACTATAAATCTGTGTATTTGCATGTTTGCTTTTCTGTTTTTCGTTTCTTTCGTTAATGCTGTCGGGATTGGGTTTAGGCTTAACCCCTAACAAAAAATGCAGATCATGATGGGAACTTCCTGTTGAACATGGGCTACTTCTGGACAACCTTCTGGATCTTGCGCATGCCCATTTTACTCACACTTCGACCTTTGCTAAGGGTGGAGTGTGCCCAGGTTTGTTTACGTGCTCATCATTTTTCATAAATACGCAAATTATGATACAATTCTACATATTGTATTAATCAATGACCACGGAAGTTGTTGCCAAATGTAGCATAAAGAAACATCTAATCAAATTACTGCAACTTATTACAACACAAAGAAACTTACAAGTTATCATCGTTTGTTGTTTTTCTCAGCTTGGTGAAATTTTGACGCCTGAATCTGGGCTGCAAGGATACTGGGATCCCTATCCTATCGATATGGAATTCCGGCCACCTTGTATGGTATTGTCAACCATTGGAATTTCGAAACCAGGGAAATTAGAAGGGCAGAGTACTAGAGAATGTTCGACACATCTTCATCAACTTCATGTTTGCTTACCTTCGTCAAGAAACAAGACGAGATTACTGTACAGAATGTCACTCGACTTTGCTCCAATATTAAAGCATGTTCCTTTCATGCAATATCTGTGGAGACATTTTGCAGAGCAGGTAAATCTTCAGAAATCAAGAGTTTTGTTTTCTCTACTCTTTATTTTCTTTCAGAAATCTTAAAATTATTTCGTACAGGTTTTGAATGAGGATCTACGGCTTGTACTCGAGCAACAAGAACGCATGATCAATGGAGCTTTTGTATGGAACTGTCCTGTATCCTATGATAAACTTGGAATAAGATACAGGCTATGGAGGGATACAATCGAGCGAGGATCAAAGTAACTACCCTTCAGCAAATGTGAATAGAACCTTTTTTGTCCAAGTCTGACTGCTCCATTATTGACCATCAGCGTCGACCCTGTTCAAGGCACTGCAGTTCTGTACTTGCTCGTCCAAGATATTACCAACTGGAGTTTCTGGATATTGATCTGAGGCAAATGGATGGTCTCAGCGTACACCCCTCGTAAATTCAGAGAAACTCTGCACTTCCATTCTTTTTTTTGGAGAAAAATTGGTCTTTCATTTGTCATCATAGTATCTTTTGTTCCTCGAATAGCTATATTTCTGTCTGAAAGTTTTGATGTTTGAATAATTTGCAAATTTTGTTTGATCAACATTTTAAATGGCCTGAAGAGGAATTAGAACATCTTGTTATCTTATTATATTACACTCGACATTTTAGAATCAACGTCCACGACGGCTTATATTTCCAGATACGTGACTTCTTGGAACCATTTTTCTATTGAAAGTAGCACTCCCTGAGTTGTCCGGTCCACGACGAGGATCATCTCCATAATGGTGCTTACTCTGATATCAGCTGTAACAATCACAATAAATCTTAACCTAGCTAGTGATTTGGGATACGTTTTATGTTATTACATTTCAATCTTAATTTCAGAATCAACATCCATTGCAGCTCATATTTTCAGATAGGTTACTTCTTGAAACTAGTTTTCTATAGCAAGTAACCCTCCCTGTGTTGTCCCATCTATGAGAAGGATCATTTTGGGTACTCTTATCTCAATTATAAGAATCTCGTCGGATAGAACCTATCCTTAAAATTGACTTATACGAAAAGGAGTCCAATTAGTTTTAAACAAGACTAGACATTCAAAGGGAGATACAATTAGGGTAAATTTTCATAATTAATTACAATTAAATTTTTTGCAAATGTGTCTTAATCAACCAATAATCCAAAATAATAAATATAGCAACAACAATTTTTATTTATTAATATTAAAGACAAATCCCCACATACAAACACTAATCCTTAAAACCCAAAACCTCAAAAACAGCAATTTACAGAGCCGACCCGCAGAAGGGGCAGAACCTAAACCCAGGATCCACCTCCCGTGCACAGAATTGGCACCGCAAGGCATCTCTTTTCACCTCCACCGGAATCTCCGTCGACGACGGCGGCGGCGGAGAGAACGACTCTGGGAAGAAAAGTTTACAATTGGAGCAATGCAAAAGTGGCTGCTTCCCGGGCCACCGCCAAACGGGCACGAAGAATAGCTTGAGAACCTTTTCATAGTCAACCAGATCGGCCGGTGACCCGCAGGCGATACACCGACCCGCCCCGCTCTTCAGCACCTGCCTTGCTTGCTGCTCCAATCCTCCCACAAAAAAGAAAAACATTTTTTGATTAAAATTTTTCTTGTTTTGCACCTTTCTTTTTTGGATTTCGACAGGAATTTGATCGATATGGGTATTTATTTTTTCATGATTTGATTAATTATAGTATAAAAAAAAAAAAAAAAAAAAAAAAAAAAAAAAGATGAGCTTGTTGTTCTAGAGTGTTCGCGGGGTTTTTGGGTCGGCTTTGGAGTCCCGTTGAGCATTTTCTAGTCCTTTCCTACTGCTAGAGAAAATTGCACTATTGTTCCACAATGTATTACTCGAGTAATTGGTTGATCCTTAACTTGTAAAAAGGAAAAAAATTGTCCTCAATATTTTACTACCTCCTCCGTCCTATTTATATAAGTTTGTTTTGTTTTTCACACGGATTAAGAAATTTTATTTAATGTTATTGAAAAACTAATTTTTGCCAAAAAAATTTCTAGTTTATCCCCACTTAATTTTCAACAGTTAATAGTAAATTATTGTTAGAATTAGTAAATAATTTGAAAATTGATTTCAAGAAATAGGCAAATTATTGGGAAATATGCATATATTTGGATGATTTCAAGAAGTATGCAAATTAAATGGGAAAAATTGATTGTAACTAGGTAAATTAGATAATGATATAATAGTAAAGGAACAAAACAAAATATTCTAAATTAAGAAACAAAATTTTCTATTTGGGACAAGAAAAAAAGGAAACTAAACCTATATGAATAGGACGGAAGGGGTATAATTTCACAATCAGTATTCACCCATGGATATCTTCCGCTTCTCCGTTAAATCATCATCACCCATGCAAAAAAGTCCTGCAGTTGGCATTTAAGAATCTTTTGATGGATTTTGAATAGGTATCAAGCATGGAGAAAAATGATTGATCTAGTTGGCTCGTAATTTATTAGGAACGGTTTAGAACTGTTGATGAAGAATTTAGTTAATCATGGTGCAATTTAAGAATGTTGGTCTATGATTTAGAGAAATAATTATTGCTTGAAACAACAATCATGATCATAGTATTGGACGATATTAAAGAAGAAGAAAAATGTTGAATCCATTTTAATATTGCAGAACACATGTGCTTATATATAGGTAACACTCGATAGGAATGTTTGGTTTAGTTCAAAAGACAAAAGTTGACTGTCATATGAATATTGTTGTCACAACTCTTAACTTATGTTACAAGGAGATGAAAGTAAAAGCATTAATGAAGTGACAGAACGTAATATAGCTTGAGGATATATCCTTTTAATTTCATGTTCGACAAGGTTGTGACTTCATCAAAATATATGTAAAAATTATTTACAAGCAAAGCCTCGCAATTAAATATACGCAGGTAGTGAATATTTGAAAAGTAACCAAGTGACAAACAGAAATTATCATATACAATCTTTTTATGCATATGGTTTTTACCATTACTACGTGGTTAAACAAATTGTACTTGACATGCTGAGAGAAAGCACAAGGCAGAAGTTTACTCTTATAGAAGGTTTCCAAATCTTGAAAAGAGTGTAAAAGGAGATGCAATTCATAAGTTTGTTAAGGATGCAGTTGTTTCGTACCATTGAAACACTAATCAATAACGTTAAGGAGTGCACAAACAATGTCGTTGTGTGGGGATGTGATTTGCCAACCTGAGGCAAACAAAATCGTCTGGTCCTACCAGATTGGGAATACGAAGGCCACTCCTAAAAAAGGAGACTGGGGAAAGAAAGAGCTGTGCCACTTGACTGTTTTTCTCATTTTGTTTGAAGCGATTTTGATAGAAAATAAAATGCATAGAATACATAGGGGAAGGATTCCAAACCTTTTTCCACTAGAATTAGCAATGAAACGAAATGGACAAAAATGATTCTTATACACGGTAACTGCCAAGGACTAGATCAAGTTCCCAATATTGGTGAAACCGCTCATAAAAGCACCCTTATATCATGTGGAAATATAAAGTTCGTGTTGCAAATTTGTGTTTCTATAATCTCTATATGTGGAAATATCCAAATTGCAACTCGATTTTGAAGGACTTTAACCCTATATTAATATCAGGGGTACTAATAGATATAAAAATAATGGCAGTATAATATACAAAGATAAAGAGCCAATCAATGTATTTTTTTTCTAGTGAAATCAGAAATTTCCTCAATGTTTACTTTGTCATGTGAACTTATGTTATGGTTGCAATGTGCTTAGTCAAGTTGTTGGAAAGTGAGAAGATTGCGAGGGAGAAAGGCTGAGGATCTTGTGGCCGAAGCCCTACCAGAGTTCAAGGCTAACTTTCCTAACACTCCCGAGTACGCCAAGATGGAGTGACTCAAGTCCTCATCCTCATTTGGACAAACACTTGGAATTGAATCTCTCTTTTCTTTTTGAGGGTGATGATTTGAGTTAATTGTTCCAATGGTCACTGAACTTAGGTTCATGTCTTTGATTGG